TTTCAATTGAACACAGTCACTCGCCATATTTCAGAAATATCATCATAGGAAATGACTCTGAAAATGGTGACAATACTTAAACCAGGAGATAGTCCAAACTGTGATATAAATATTCACAATGCATGTGATTTATATTATGATGATGTAGGAGTAGCCAATACTGGATGCTTAGATATTGCATGCGATGAAGCAATTTTTCGCAGATTGATTTCATACAAAGAAAATAATAAAGACAAAATTATAAGACCTCTTTTAGGCCAGTGGCATACTTCCCGTGACATGTGTAGTGCATTGATAAATATTTTTTCAGGTTATGATATTGCTAATATGGCCGCAAAACTTGGTGTTCGCTTTTTAGACAAATTAGAAAAAGTTGTAGATTATCAGGCCACCTGTCGAGTTTTGGAATTGATTTGGGTTGCTATTGGTATCGCAATATGTCAATATTTACGTAGCAAGAATCAAACAATGAGTGATATTGAGAGTGAAAAAAATGATGTGCTCAGAGTTTGGTATCGTTATTTTTGCTGGACGGGTTATTGGGTGGGGCATAAACTTGGTATTCGCCGGGGAAACTATGATATGCAAATAAAAAATCTCGCAGCATTTTCACCTCTCTTTCCAGTTGCTGGCAAATGTAACTATGCCAAATCAGTAACACATTTTTTATCTTACATTGAAGATGATCCACATCTTCAAAAACTACTTCGATGTGTTTGTTCAGTAAATCTTACTTCACCTGGTCACTATTTCGCATTTGACGAAGCGTTGGAGAGATTTGGAGTAATGTTTGTAAAACAAAATATTAGAGGAAGAGCATTAAATAATGAGGAATTGAAACTACAGATAGGTTCTGCACAGGCAGAAAGAGATCGGTTAGGATTATTAGTATCAGAATACTTGGGTGATATGATTACAATTAAAGAGGAGCGAGCTGTAAGATCCCGAAAAGAAAGTCTATGGAAATTAGCTGATGAGTTGTTTATTGCCTTTTCTTTACCAGACCCTAAAACACACGAACTTTTTGCAGACACTCAAGAAGTGAATTCAACAGGTTTTTTAAAGATATTTACTTGTTATGATCTCGGCATGGCTCGACTTAATGCAATTTTACGTCAGGATGTTTACAAAATTGATACTCAAAACACAAAAGGCCGTCGTGCACGTAATATAGTAGTGCACAAATTGGTGATTCCACCATTAGAAAGCAAAAACAATAATGAACGAACGCGAAAAAGAAAAAAGAAAAAAGATCAGCAATTACAAGAACAAGTTAAGGATATTCATTGTGTAAAACGGCAACGCCGACTTACAACTGATGGTGAGAAAAAGATACTTGAAACTGTACTTAAATATGATACCTTTCCCGAGGATATAGTTATTGAAATTCTACACCAACTACAAGTGTATAGCAATGATTGGGACGTACAACGTGTTCGAATATATTGGAACAACAATCGGCTCTACAAGCGAAAAAAACTCCCTACAAATTTGCATACTCGTAATAATAGTGATAAAGCTAATCAAACCCTTGATAATTCAGGCTCTATTAATCCTGTTAGTCACCAACCAGCGCAAGGACAAATCATTCATTCACCGTCACCCAATGTGGTAAATAATACTTTTTGTTGGAATGATAATGCATCATTACTTCTTTCAAATAGGATAATTTCTCGAAGTGGAACACCGCCGCCAAATGATTACCCGGCTACTAAACAAATAACATCAGTACGAGCGGTCAATAATACTACTAAGACCACTACAGCAACTAACAATTATACTCTTGATGACAATGAATGTCAGTCTTTAACTCCGGATTTACATGATTCTGACGAGGAATTTTTCGATGCAATGGATGCTTTTAATGATGTACAAGTTGAAGAAGCAGTCGCTAATAGAATTATCTGAAGCTGACGGGCTTCAACCATACATAATCACCACATATTCATATAGCGCGGATCAACCAGACTAGTTAATAAATATTCACCCAATTAGAATCTCACCTTCTATAGCGATACTATATCGATATCACGATTTATTTAGACTTGTTTCCATTGATGAACGATTTATTGGATGCGTTTATTAGTACTATGAATTTTACAGATAACGATAACGTTATTTATGTAAATCTTTAACTAATATATACGTACAATTGTCTGAATTTTACTGTTTTTACGTAAAGATCTTTTAAAAAATATTTCAGTTATAGCAACGATAATTAGATGAATAAAAAGTAGAAGTTGCCTTGGAACACCTGGTGAAAAATGAATCGGGTTTAAGGGAACAAAAAGCTCAATGTTTGCTTGATGTTTTTGAGGCGAGTATCTTTTTTCATTTCATTTTGATTACTGGCAAACAGTATGGAGGGCCCTGTTAAGTCCCGAGAAGGGGAACATACTTCCACGACTACGGTGAGCGCGTACGCTCCGCTCACTTTATGGCGTTCATTAGATCCCGTTGTGGTCTACAAGTTTTGTAGAGGTGGGGGCCTCCAGCAGTCCTGAGAAGGGGTAACACTCACACAACTATGGCGGGTGCCTACGTACCACCCGACCTTACGGCGTTCATTAGATCCCGTTGTGGTCTGCTTTGCCAGGGGGTTGTCTGCTTTCCAGTGAGGATAAGATAGTGACAAATTGTGTATTATAACTCTTGTAGAACCATCGAAAAAGGAACGTGGATATCGATAAATTCTGGAATGAAGTTGAATGTGAATCTCTGGATATAGAGCATGCCAAAGAAAAAAAACGATTACAGCTGGACCAGGTCAATAATTTATATTTACTTTGATGTTGTTAAATATTATATGGCTAATGATTGCTCTGAATTGCAGTTGAAAATAGCTCGTGTTATGACAAAGGGAACTGAAGATGGCGTTGGAAATATTATGAAAAATGTCAATATGGAGCTGGTATGGCAATTTACATGTAATATTGTTAAAAATGATCTACTAATTCAACAAACTTTATGGTTTATTCATAGGTCGAGCCAGCTACTTATCTTAAAAGAAGACGAGATGTTGATTACAAAGAAGATCGAGATGGGTACACTACGCCTTGTCCAAACAGTCCAATGGTGAATAATCCGGAGGACGAACCGAAACCAAAGAGACGGGCTAAGACTGATGATAAGTCTTGCACTTCATCTGCCGGAACTAGTGATGATATGGTCAGTGACATAAATGATATGATTCTGTTTATGTATTTTTTTCTTTTCATTTTCGGCTCAGCCGATTGGTATTGATTTTACAAAATACAAGAGTGTGGATGACGAGTCCGAAGAATCCGAAGAAAGAGATGAGGAAGACGAATTGAGGCTAGACGTGGAAGAAATTGGGTTTGAAGAATACATCGATCAAGGGAATAAACCTGTAAGTTTTTTTTATCAAAATAAACTGCAAGTATGATTTCGCTAAATCAATAACCGTTATATAGTTCATTTTCAAAACAAAAAACATATCGTCACTATTTAAGTCATATCGATCCAAAGCGTTAGCTCATGCGCAAAATTCTGGTCTGATAATAACGAAAAATTATCACGAAATATTGTAGGTAGAACTTTAAAATGGAATATCTTTTTAATGATTAACTTTACTGATGGAGGTTGATTATTTTTTTTTTGAAAATTCAGGAGTCTATCTCATATTCTTTTACTACAAATGGATAATTATTCGGAAACGCAAGTGAAAACGTTCTCTAGGGAAACGCTCGAACATCTCAGAAAGGATATTAAATCAAAGTTAATCGGAAAAGAAAAAGTAACAAGGGACATAAAATCAATCCTGCAAGAGTACATTGAGGTTCGTATTTTTCTATTATCATCATTCTTTTGCAATGTTCCCTTTACTGACTATCTTGCTTAGGTTGCTCTTGACGATAATGATGGTGAATTACACGAACTTCGCGAAACCATCACTGAATCTTTTTCGAAAGAATTTAATTCAACAGCAGAGAAAGAATTTCTTCGACGAATGAAGTTTCTCTTTGAACATCTGTAAGTTTCGATATCTCTTAGTTAAGCAACTTTTTGAAATTACTGTTAACAAGATTTTTTCTTGCTACTTTGCAGGTCTTATACTATCCCATTACATCCATTGAAAGAAATTATAAGCGAAGGGACACTTGTGGCGAATATAATAAGTCCAATTTTACGAATTTTTTTTCATGACTCATACATATATCTTACGATATGGCCGAACACATCCAGCACCAGCGCAAAGATCCGAAAACTTGCCATCAGTGATCCTTCCCGGGCTAAACAACCCGATATGATCGGGAAAATTGTCAATAATGGTACTTATAGAAAAAACAGCTAATCATAAAAATACAAATAAATCTGTTCTAAATATTTCTTTAACATACAGGAAAATTTGTTTATGAAACGATGTTTGGTGAGGTGACGGGAGAAGGCAAGAACAACACGGAAAAAAAGAATCTAATCGACCTGGTTAGATTGGGGATATTTATGAAAGATTCTCTTGATAATATTTCACGTAAGACCGGTGTCAATCAGATTTTCAGTTGGCAAGTTATTGGTAAGCTGGTCTTCCAGGAACGCTTGTCTTATCCTACCTAATTAATGATTCTTTATGTAATAAATAGTGACAAAGTGGACCGGTTATATGATGACATTAATTAGCCCAGGGATTTACGTTATGATTGATACTGGTAGTGTAGATCTTCCAAGATCTTTCGAAGTATGCAATACGTTTCTGACTGGTCTGGACACACTGTTTGCATTTCAGGTATAACTTAGAAATATCAATATTACTTTTTATTTCTGTATAAATGACTAATTCAAAACTGTTCCTCTAGATAGCGTATGAAAAAACAATAAAGGATATTCTCTCGATTATGAATAAAAGTGAAGAATTCGAGAGTGATGATAATTTTAAAGGATGACGTCGATCAACACTTGGAACACCATTGTTCAAAAAAATTGTGAAGTTCAAATAACTATCAAACAAGATATTAGAACATATATTTACGTAATATTCATTAACTAATTATATGCTATATCAGCTGTTTCTTTTCTTTCAATATTAATAAAGTTGTTTGCTCACAATTCAGTTTTAATTGGCCTTACTATATATAATACGTACATGGTTTCATATACTGTATTTATAAAATGCATATATACAAAAAGACAGAATCAAATCTTATTTGTCCAATTTTAGGGGTATGTCCCAACCAAGCCGTACGCTTAAAGGATCGTTTACTGCCTTAGTAAAATCAAAAACCACGAATTTTTGATTTCGCAAATGCTTATCAATAATCTTGGATGCCTTTTTTGGATCATCTGTATATTAACGCATGATTCTACTAATATTGTCTCTACTACCCGAGCCCTGAAATAAGCATAAATGTGAGATATTTTCACGAATAATTTTAGGTGTTTGTGTATATTTCTGACTCACATATATTGGCGAGACATTTTGATGCCAGCCACTAATGAAGTAAGGAATAATTCGTTCTTGTACTTTTTTGGGTTCAGCACATAGATCCTCAAAAACAATAACTGTACTTCATTCCGGAAAGAATTTAGTTATATCTGGGATCTTATCTGATAATATCCATTTAAATGTAACATTTTCTCGATATGGTTTTGGAGCATTTGCAAAGATCTGATAGCTATTTTGTACAAGTTGTCATTTTGGTTCAAAATGTTTGGCTACTAATCTGAGATCATCATTTCTAATATACCGTTTATCTTTTTTTCCATTGAACATGTATTGTAGTTTGTTACCAAGCATGAGATTTATTTCCATGTTAGTTTTTCCACTATTTGAGCTTTCATTTATAAGCATTCTAAATGGGCAGTCTGGCAAATACTTATTACCCTTCATTCGTTCTGATGACTTTTTAGATGTCTCATTTAAGGATGCTTGCCTAAATCCTTTCAGAAAAATATTGTCATAATTTTGACGGGTTACACACTAATTGTTAATTAGA